GATTAGATTACCATATGCAGATGGTTTCATCTCTGGATTCTCAGTCCTGTTCCAGAGGTCTATGTCTCTGTTCTTGTGCCAGTACCATGCTGTTTTGGTTAATATAGCCTGGTAATAAAGCTTGAAGTGTCGTAAACTGATACCTCCCAGTTTGTTCTTTTTACTTAAGATTGCTTTGGCTACACGAGGTCTTTTCTGGTTCCATGCAAAGCATAGAATTATTTTTTCTAGATCTGTAAAGAATGATGACTGTCACTTCTTTAAATACTCTTTTAAATCTCACTCTCTTTTTCCTCTTATTCTGGGATTCTGATGATATGAGTGTTGTTATGTTGTTTGTTATTGTCCCAAATGTCCTTGAGACTCTACTCACTTTTTTCCCCAGTCTATTTTCTCTGATTTTCAGAATGGATAAGTTTTATTGATCTGTCTTCAAGTTCAGCAGTTCTTTTCTCTGTCATCTTCCCTCTGCTGTTGAGCCTATCTAGTCAGTTTTTGTTATTATAGTTTTTTTCACTCTTCCCCCCCGAGAATTTGTAATTGCTTATTGGAGTATTTTTATCATGGCTATTAAATTTCTTATTAGATAATTTCAACACCTGATTTATCAGTCAATCTTTTCTCATTCAAGTTGTGATTTCCTATTCTTGGTATGCAGGTGGTTTTTGATTATATCTTGATATTTTGTCTTTTATATTGAAAATCTCTGGGTCTTATTTAAATCTTTAATTTTAGCAGGCAGTCATCTAGTTTGGGTTTAGCATTCAGGTCTTGTGGTGGAATCTCTCTTTCCAGTCTTAGGCCTTGTAGGAAAGGGAAGTGCTTTCCCTGTATGCTTATTATAATAGTGTTTGGTGGGTCCCTCTTGCTAGTGCTGCTAGGATCTCCTGGTGTTGTCCATGGGATTCCTTGGGAACCTACCTGGGTCACCTTTTGTTGCCAGGTTGGGGGTAGGGAAATGCTGGGTCTGAGTAGCCCTCTTCTGTTGAGGGAGGAGATGTCATGAGACAACCATCCTCTAGTCCCTATAGAGTTTGCCTTTCCTTTTACATCTTTCAGAATTATTCTTTAATTGTTTCTTGCACTATCTCTGTGGTCTATGGGGAGGAGCAGGGGGAAATCAGTCTACACTATCTTGTCCCACATATTGACTTTTAAACTTTTGATATGTTACTTAACTTTATAATTTTAAAATTTTCAATTTCCTTAGTTGTAATGAAGTCATAGCAATAATGTGCCCCTTAAATGAGATGAGGTAGTTCCTGAGATGTAGTATGTGCTCTGTTTGATAATGATGCTGGTGATGTTTGCAAAGTTATTTATTACATCATTATTTTAAAGAGCAAATTGAAACCGAAATGAATAACAATGTAGAGTTTAAGTTTTAAGTTATGTATCATCAATACAATGAAATTTAGCTACAAAAAAGTAATAAATGGGACATTGAAGGATGGTCCAAATGTTTTGTTAAGTGAAA